CTCATCGATTTCTCGCTGAGTCTACTCCCCATCACCCCATTTTTTTTGGTAATGAAGGGAAGGCTTCAAGAAACTTGGTTTCTTGGTAAGGCTTGGCCTATCGGGAGGCAACAGCATACACCATTAGCTCCCCCCTCGGGTTAACCTTCCGAGTTCCGAGGGGATCGAGGGTCATTTCCTGGGCATGAGACATAGTCTATAGCCTGGCTCCCCTTGGGGGATGGCACGGAAAGCGCCTCAGTTTTGAAAGTCATTCCCTGGGCACGAGACATAGTCCGTGGCCTGCCATACCCTTGGGGTAATGGCGCGGGAAGCGTTTCGTTTTTGAAAGTCGAATCTTGGATATTATTAGTTGCCTGCCATACCCTTGGGGTAGTGGCGCGGAAAGCGTTTCGTTTTGAAAGTCGAATCCCGAGCATATTAGTTGCCTGTCATATCCTTAGGGTGATGGCGCGGAAAGCGTTTCAAGGAAGGGTTTTCATTTGCACACTGGTTGCAAATGGCCGGAGGCACTACGTGCTGCCGGCACCGATAGGTGGCGCCTTTGGTATGAATGCGTCCTCGAGGGGTACAGCTTCAGAAACAGCACTTGGTGTTGGTTTCAGCCCCAGGTACTTGGTACCGAGGGGTCTTCAAAAGGAAATACTTGGTGTTTTCGGCTGTCTGAAGTTGATAGGAGTACATACCCTCGACACTTGATACCGAGGGGTCTTCTTAAAAACACTTGGTGTTTCCTTCATTTGTCATAGGTGATTGGAGTGTCAACCCTCGGCACTTGGTACCGAGGGGTCTTGATGGGCCAAAGGGACCCCCTCTCCAGATGCTGCTCTCTGAATGTGCTGAGGTACATTACATTGACGGAGCTGCCCGTGTCAATGTAAGTTCGGTGGATGATGGTGTCATTGATCTCCGTACGGATGACGAGGGCATCCCTGTGCGGAGAGGAAGCCGGGGGGAGATCGGCGTTGGTGAAGGTGATGGGTTCCTACCTCAGCCGCTTTACCGGGGGCATATGAGTGACTTCCCCCATGTATAGCGATTGAGCCCACTTCTTCCGCTGGCTGGTGGAGTCCCCTCCTGTGTTGCCTCTAGTGATCATATGGATGTGGCGCTTTTTCTCCTGGTACTGGCTGTACTCCTCCTCCTCATCGAGGTTCCTAATCTCTCTTTTCTTACCCTTCGGGTCGCCGAGGGGGATGGTGTTTGGGTTGACCCAAGCGTTTGCTTTCTTAGGGGGCCCTTGGTAGTGAGGGGTTCCCTGAGGCGGAGGGCCCCTGATGAATTGGGACAGTTGGCCTACCCGTATCAATCTTTCAATGGCCGTCTTCAGCTGATGGCAGTCGTCGGTGTTGTGCCCTTGGTTGCGGTGGAACTGACAATAAGGATAATTGGGGTTGATGGCGTATACCTCCAGGGGTGCGCGAGAGTCGCGCTTCATAAGGTCTTTCTCCTCGGCGAAGTCTAGGATGACACTGACGGGGTGCGTCAAGCTAAGGGAGTCTGAGGGCGCTCCAAAAGAATGGGCTGGGCCCAAGCCTTCGGGTTTCCCTTGTAACCTCCCACGGGCTTGGCTTGGTCATGCCGGGGGCGATCACTGGGGTGTCGAAACCTTGGATTGATTATGGGGAGCCCCCGACCCCCGGTTACCCTTGTCATCTGGCCGAGGGCGTTGCTGATCGGGATTGTGATGGCACTTTTCCACCTCCTCGGCTTTGGCGTACCCCCCCCCCCCCCCCCCCCGCTGCAGGGCCATATGTAATCGCGGGTAGGTTCGATGATGAGGCTCCGTGAAAAGTTTCCGGGGCGAAGGACTGTTTGAAGGAGGGCCAGGAGGGTCCCATCGTCAGCGCCATCAACTTTATTTGCCTCCGTCCTCCAGCGCTCCAAGAAGTCCCGAAGGGTCTCCTCCTTCCTTTGTCTTACTGTTAGTAAGGGGAGAATTGTTTCCTTGATCGGCGCCTCCCTGCAAACTGCGTCAGGAAGCGTTGGGCGAGTTCTTGCCATGAATCAATGCAGCCTTCGGGCAATCGGTTGAACCATTCGTACGCTGGTCCCTCTAAGGTGGAAAGGAACCAACGACACAAATATTCGTCTCATGCCCCCACCATCATCATGCTGTTTTGATATCGGTTGTAATGCTCCTGGGGATCTGTCTTCCCTTCATAGGGCATGATGGGTTGCCCACAGTATTTTTTCAGGATTCGGGCCGCCAATACCCTTGGAGTAAACGACGTCCAAGTCCGGAGTTGGATGATGGGTTCCCCGAGCCTTCGGCTATTTTCTTTTGCATTTCCTCCAGTTTAGCCAACATGGCCTCATATTTGGGATCCGCATGGGGGGTGATGACGGTGGTATGTGCCCGATGGACCTCCATCTCATCAAGCCGGCGCTGGAGGGCCGCAATGACTTCGTCCCTGGGATCCTTCAGGAGGGCCTCCGCCCCCTGTGAACGAACACGGGCCGAGTGGACCTGATTGATTTGATGCCTTGCGTCATCGGCATGAAGTGGTGCCTTGCCTTTGTCCTGAGGAGGATGTCTTTCGTTTGCCCTGGAGACGGATCCGCCACTTTCCTGAGGTCTTTGAACGCCTTCCCCTCGAGGCGGTCTTGGACCCCTCGGCGGTCTTGCGCCCCTCCGAGCCTCTCGAGGGCGGAGGTCCGAGGCCCTTCTTTGTTCGCACCACGCTGGTCCCGGGATTGAACCTCCTAGCAGCCGGTGTCTTGAGCCACGACCCCTTCGTCGTTCCCCACCTGAGGGGTGGGGTTCACGAAGGGGGGTGGCCGTGGGAGAAGAACAACGTTCTCCCCGACTTGCGGTTGGAGGGGCACCAGGGTGCCGAAGGCGCCTGGGTTTTGAGTGAGTGTCTGGATAAAGGCAGAGAATGCCGACTGTATGTCGATAGTGAGAACCGGAGGGCTCACTTAATTTTCGCTCCAGTCCCTCCTTCGGGTTTCGATGCCAAGGCGGGCATCAGAAGCGTTTTGTTGGAGCTGAAGGCGCATGTCAACAGCAGCCTGTTCCAACTCAGTGATGACCCTGCCCTCGAGAGCCTTGTTAGAGGCTCCGGGGGCGTTGACTTCACCGAGGGCCAGGTTGTTGTCCTCAAGGTTCTTGGACTGAGTACAGGTGGTTCTTCCCATTTTAGTAGGTGTTTTTAGCTGAAGGGGAGGGTTGCTTACTTGATTGTTCGATCTCTCAACGAGAGCACCAAATGATGGATAAGTGTACCCGGGGGTATCTATCCGAGGGGTTACTGCGAGGAGTATCTAGAGAGAAGTGAGAGCAAATGTTGGATGTGGCGTTTGTACTCGATACGTTGATCCAGCGCATGTGGATGAGAGATTCTGTCGAGGAGATGCCTTCGGCCGTAGATGATTGGCCGAAGGCTCTTTGTACCGGTGGCCTATAGGTGCCGAGGGCTAATGTTTTTGCCGCTTTCTCCCAGACACTTTGAGTGCTTAAAAGATGCCGTATTGTGAGTTTTCTATTCCAAGACATTTTTATTCATATTTAGAGCAATTTTCTAAAGAAATAGGGAGTATAAGTGTATGTAACGCTAACAGCCATACAAACACTGATTTTTTAAATGGTCAAAATGAGAGGGGAAAAAAGGGCTGAAGAGAGGCGGAAGTGGTGGAGGCGACATCGGGTGTGCTTTCTGTATACACATATAATTAGGATTAGTAAAAATGATGTATTCAGGTGGGATTGAGATAAAATTGAAATGGGCTAAACGGGATTGGTACGAAATTTAAATGGACGGTGTTTCTAAACAAAAATCATTTAAAGCCATTGTATTGAATCCAAGCCTAAATGAGTGGCCCAGATGTTGTATTTATTGTTTGGATATCATGCAAAAAGTTTTAAAAGAAGAATGTGTATTTCATAATTATTTTATGTTGTTGATTTTCTAAAGGTTACACTTTTATAGTAAAGAAAAATGAAATATGATTGTTTATAAATACATTGTGTTTTGGGAAAATGAAAACTAATAATCCAACCTTATAGTGGTCTTCTTATAATAGTTCAACCTTTTCATTATTCATAAATAATTCAACCTTTGCACCCTATCTTCATTCACCGATCCCTGACCAATTTATGACATGTTATTCCAAGTTATTTTATTATCTTTGCAAAACATTATGTGATCATAAGGTGAGAATTATGGTATAATGTTTTACAAAGATAAGAAAATAACTTGGAATAACAGGTAATAAATCGGTCAGGGACCAGTGAATGAAGATAAGGTGAAAAGGTTGGATTATTCATGAATAATGAAAATGTGAGACTATTGTAAGAAAACCACTAAAAAGTTGGATTATTAGTTTCCATTTCCTATTTTTTAGTATCGTTTATAAAAGAAGTAGACAATGGCATAACAGATATGCGGCATGATAGTTTGAAACATAAAAATCTAGTAATAAATTTTTTCTCACTCTTTTCATTTTTGGATTGGTCCATTCTAGTTAACTTTATTCAAAATGTCACTCACAATGATCGACATATGTTGGTACTATGGCTCAACTCATAGCCCAGATTTGGAAATAAACACTTACCTCCGGCCCAACTCGGATGAAGAATTAGTAAACAAGCCACAAATCATGAACACGGAGATCTAAGCCCATCACCAGGTTGACCACGTCTGGACTGATGACCTGAACAACAGGTTTCAAGCCCGGTTGAAATCACGTTTAGGTTAGACTCTTCCTAGAACTTACGTGGTATTTGATCCGTGATGGATAACAGTAACTGGCAGTGACAGATCACTTGAGGACACGTAGGCAATTAGGCATCTGGCATCAAGGGGGCATTAAATACGGAAGTAGTGGGAGAAACGTTATATAAGTCCTACTATGACTAAAACCATCAATAGTATCTGTTATGTCTCCTAACACTACATGTATAAATACGCCTTACACTGCCAAATTATATGATATTTTTACACATATCGTACCAATCAGTAGATTAGCTCCCACGATTGAAAATATACTCCATCATTCGGTGCTTTCATTGAGAGAAGATATACGGTCTTTGTGTAATTGAATGATGGTTGGATCATATAACAGAGAGAGAATTCTCCGTTTAAGAGCAGAACATACCAAATATGCCAAAATAGGACTCCTATCTCACTTGAAGTTCACCACACGGAAATTAACAGTAATGGACAAGAATGCCCTTAATGAATACTCCATCTATTTAGTAAAAATATAAAATAGAATAATAATAAACTAAATGCATTACACGCTACGTATTTTCCCCTCATGCCCACCCCAGCCTGCAGAAGTTGCCGCCAACACCACCCAAGGGACAGGACCTGCACCAGTTACCGCCGCCAATCACCCCTTGCCGCCGCCCAACACCCGCCTCCCGCCGCCGCCAATAGATGTCGTCGCAATCTTCATCGTTATCGCCGCTTATGTCGGCATTACGGTTGTTAGGTGCATCCGCCGCTAGTAGCCGCCTGCCATTGGTCAACCACACTTCTTGTAGCACCACCATGTTTGGCTCCTCCATTAAAGATCTCAGATATGAATTTGAGTGTCATTTTGACATTTCATTGGCATTATAAATGTTAGATTTGTAGGAGAAATGATAATGTCATTGCTACATAGTTAGTGCCATATAGATGGCAATATGTGCAACAATTACATGTTTATATATATGTGAAAAAATGTGGCACTTATGGTATTGTTTTTGCCATGTTGAAGGAATTACTGCCATAAAAATGACACAAAGTGTCAACATAACATTTTATACGGAAAACATGGCATTATTAGTGTTATATATGAAAAGGGGTAGCATTTTCATTTTAATGCATAAATTACTAGCTTAGCGATTTATGCATATTTAGAATTCAAATCATAAAATTATTTTGGACTAAAAAAAATTAATTGACATGAGTGTAAAATTATTACCTTATTGTAAAAGAGAAAATAAAACAATACTCCGTATAACAATAAAATGTGAAAGAAAAATAGAAAAAGAAAAAGGAGAAGAAATTAAAGCAGGAGAAAAACTTGAAAAGTCCAGATCTGAATAAGGAAAAGAAAGGGAACAAAAAATAAATTAAAAAACATAGCAGGTTCATGTAAGAAAAAAGAAGCAAAGTTCTTCTGTGGAGCAAAAGAAAAGGAGGGAGTAGAAGGGGAAGAAAAAGAGAAGAAGAAATCAAAATTTATCTGCATAATCTTCTTTGTCCACCGGTGGTCAGAATTGATGAGAAAAATCAGTCCATCCTTCAATGTTTATGGTCGCCGCTGGAGATGGTGAATTTGAAGATGAGGTCTTGAGATGGACGAGTGCTAGAGCAGGCTAGAAGAAAGAGAGAAGAAGTTGGGGAAGGGAAAGAAGAGAAAGGAAAGTGAGTACGGTGCAACCAAAGATGCGCAGAAAGACAAAATTAAAGTCTTACAATATTAAAATTAAAATAATGCATGCTAGCTGTAAAAAGGGTACAATTGGAAATAGAAAGCACTCACTTTTGGGAATAAATCAACAACAAGTCTTATTTTGGATCTTTCTTATTGTTTTACTCCCATTTAGGTATATTTCTTTATAGCAAACCATGGTGGTTGGATCATGTAACAACAACCATCTTCTCACCTTTTGCAAAACGTCAACTAGACAAATATAAGCACATTGAAGCAACATGATATGAAAAGCTAGAAAATCAGGGAGATACTCTAGAACGAACACACCGTTCTCGCCTATATAATGAATGGGCCATTAGAAAGGGGCACCATCAGCATTGGGATCAACTCGATCACCCCACCTGTTGATAAATGAAAAAGCACCCTCCACCGGAGAAAGCCAAACCCATTTACTCTTCCAATTTTTAAGGGATCCTGAATAGGATTTGGCCATGAATAGGTGATGACCAGTCCATTGGGAAATCAAAAAGTATATTTGACTCTCTAAAATATAAGCTCATACATAGTAAAAGAAGTGCAAGAAGAGATCTAGAGTGGGGCGAGTTTTTAAATGGAGGCGACGAGGCTGTAAACCTAATAATGAAGAGATGCGTCGTTGGGGTGAGTTGACCCCATCCTCGTCGGAAAGATGACTCGAAGGGGGAATGGTTCAGAAGAGGATATCAAGAAAGACAAATACATGGGACTAACCTGTGGACGACAGAAGGATTGAGGAGACTGTTCTGGCCAAAGCTCTGGACCGCCTGGGATTTTTTTGTGTGTGTAAAGCACAGGTCCGAATGTGAGAGAAAAATTGAAGAAGGTCCGAATCGAGGCACTCAAGTGCAGAAGTTGGAAGTTGTACGGTTTATAGTTCCGTGTTGGCTCCTTGCAAAATTTGAGTGAGATATTAAAAGGAATGCCTAAACTATCCTGCATTGGTCCTTCAACTAATAAATCTATCATATTAGTCTTTATTCTAATTAATGCATTTTAATTTGGTCCTTCTGTTAGTTTTGGCCGTGTACATTCACAGTGGTCAACCAATCAATATTTATAAATTGTTGTAAGAGCCATCCTTAACTAAAGAATTCCCTATTTGCCAAAAAAACTAAATCATTCCCTTATCAATAAATATTAACCTTAATCAAACATAGTTTTAATTATTAATATGCTGCCCTTACTCAACAAGAAATCACTCAAGCATATTATTAAATACTACTTCGTATGTATTAAAATGTTGATGAGTTAAATGTTAACTTCTAGTGATTAAATGTTTTAATAATATGTCATTAATTTTTTTGTTATGAATACTCCGTTGAGTAATAATTTAATAATAATAATAATAATAATAATAATATTAATAATAAATTTTAGTATTATTAACAATATAAAAATATAACTAATAATTACTACAATCCTTATTTTCTTATTTAATTTTGCCTCTCCACAAAATTATATGATACGTATAATTTTTTCAGCCAACTAACTAAAGGTCAACCACAAGTGAAAACAAAATACTTAGTGTAGTATGGATTGAGACTAATCCACCTAATCTTTTTGAAAAGAAACCCATCTAAGTTATACGTAAATGTTAATAAAATCATTGAAAAATACTAAATTACGGACATCTCCGTTTGACCAACTCGGTCTATTCAGCACAAAAGATAGTATTTAAATCCATTCAATACAAATATTCCATCGGTCACAAACTTGATTGGCAAAACAAGGTTTTTTTTGGAAAAAACTTCAAATCAGTACATGAGACACAAAAAGATTACTTAAATGATCACAATTGTTCTTTCTTGCATGTTCTAATATTATGACCTTTCCCATCACATTTATGACATGTCATCGTGACGCCCTTTTTCCTCAACTTAGTAGATCCAGTGTTTGTATTTACTTCATTCGCTTCTTTCTTTCTTTCTTTCTTTCTTTCTTTCTTTTAGTCTTCGGTCTACCAGGTTGTTTCTTTTGAACCTGAGACGGTCTTTGTTGGAAAACAATAAAAGGGGCCTAATATGTAATTAATTAAAATGTGTTTACCATCAGATAAATAATACAGTGGCCGTTCATGAAATAATAAGTGTAGATACGGGATAATATATTTCTTTTGGTGACGGGTCAAATTAAATATATTATACTAAAGTGATACAACGGTTATGACCCTCGGTGCGTGTAAATTAAGGGATAACAGTTAAGATATTGTAACGGAAAATGGCCTAATAAATTATTCTAAATAATATCATTATTGCAACAATAATTAAGGAATTATTATTAGGAATAATAAGAGCCAACCGTTACAATATTGAACTAGTCCTATATATATCACATCTATTATAGGATTAGGATATCTCATATATACATTGCTACATAGCACTGGAAGGTTAGCTGATTAATCACGTTGAATTCCTGGGTTCTTCTTAAAGTGATAATGCAAATGAATTCTCAAGGTATGATTCTAATTTTAGTTCATACATATTTGATTTCATGGATTTATATGGATTTAGCTATTATATATTTATATATATATATCGCATATGGAGTTTTGTTGATATATGTATGAATATTCATCAATTGGTATCACAGCCTACCATTATAGATCCATGAAATTCTTCGTTGATATGCGTTCATCGTTATATCTAGAATTTTTATTTGAATTAGTGAATTCTCAAGTTTTTTTTTGTATGAAATGATTCGATCACGTGCATCTAATCATCGGATAAGTGAAAAATTTCTGAGGAATTTTTTATTGTCGATTCTATTTTCCGCTGCATGTATATTTATCATTACAGATTCATTTCTTTTATCAGCAATTCAATGCTTCAGTTCCTTTTGTTTTTCAAGTATTGATGTACGATTCATTTCATGATTGAATTCTCAAGATTAATTACTTCATGTCATTTGCACCACTTGGAGTCTCAAACATGAATATAATTCAATGTAAATGTAATGTTAAATCATTAGTTTTACACGTACGTATACATTGATGGTGCTGAGTGAATCTATTTATTACATGTAATGAATTAATTTTTAGCCATATGAAACCGTTTATGCCATTTATATGCTACAGTGTAATTTAATCCAATGACTCTATGAGCATACATGTGCTGTTATATTATGAATGATGAAGTCATCATTTTAAAGCTTAATTGATATAGTACAATTGAATTGAATTCTGTATGCATGTCCAAATATAAATTTGATTGCAATTTCATGATATTTTTCAAATGAAATTACTACGTATGTATTAAGTTGATGCTGATCTATTATTATTTTTTGGGATCGATTAGCAACTTGTTTTAAGTTTGAATAATTCCATGTTTATCATCAAACTTGTGAATTAAATTGCCGCTGATCATGTATTTTTGATTGACGTAAGCCAATTTTAAAGTAGTATTGTGGTAAGAATTTTTGAACTGTGATGAAATTGTAAAATAAAAGGAGTTTAATATTTAAATGGGTATATGGAAACAATATGTCACCAAAGTGATCCTATTGTGTAAGTTGCTCATATAAAATATTAAACATAGTACATACTTTGTATATAGTTCAAGTAAATATTAATCGGCCCCAAGGAAGATTAATATTTTATCAAGTCACATATGTACATTTTGGTAATAATATAAATATGACAATTATAAGGTTGCACTTTAAAAGAAAAAGTCAACCCAAAGGTAGATTTTTCTTTTATATGTATTATTGTTATATTTTATTGTTACAACAAGAGTACCACTAGCAATTAGTATTATTGTCCAAAGATGAAATACTAATGGTGCATTTGGTATCTTGTGATGGGTTAAAATCATTTTACAATTTCACTAAAACATATGTTTGTTATCCTTGTTCTTTCCACAGTTAATTTTGCGAGCATATCTGCCAATCTCAACTCCATCCCTGTCCTAAATGGTACTAATTTTTAGGAATGGAAAGAAAATATTCTAATAACTTTGGGCTGCATGGATCTTGACTTAGCATTAAGGGTAGAGCAACCCGCTTCTCTTACGGATGCTAGTACCCAAGATGAAAAAAGGTACTATGAGAAGTAGGATCGCTCGAATCGCTTAAGTCTTATGATCATAAAGCGTGGCATTCCAGAATCCTTTAGGGGTGCTGTATCCGATGAGATTACTAATGCCAAGGATTTCCTTTCTGAAATTGAGAAACGTTTTGTTAAAAGCGTGGCAGAAATAAGCATGTTGTTAAAAGACTTTACTTCCAAAAGGTATTCAGGAAAAGGAAATATAAGGGAGTATATTATGGAAATGTCTTATATTGTTTCTAGGCTCAAGACACTTAAGATTGAGATATCGGAAGATGTTCTCGTACACATAGTCTTGAACTCTCTTCCTATTGCATTTGATCCTTTTAAGGTTAGTTATAACTGCCAGAAGGAGAAGTGGTCTCTTAACGAGCTCATTTCATATTGCGTGCAAGAGGAAGAGAGGATGAAACAAAATAAGACAGAAAGTGCTCACTTGGCTAGTACCTCTAAGGATAAGGGTAAAAAGAGGAATAGAACTCCCATTAAGAATGAAGCTGCTAAAGGTCCAGTACAGAAGAAACATAAGGAAGGTGAAACAACCTGTTTCTTCTGTAAGAAGTCTGGACACATGAAGAAGGATTGTACCAAGTATCACGCTTGGAAAGTGAAGAAAGGGTTGTCTGAGCCACCGCAAGCCAAATGATGCTGAAAGATGTGTCTATGTGGGAGATGGCAAAGCGGTGCATGTGGAGGCTATTGGGCATTTTAGATTGTTATTGTCTACTGGTTTCTATTTGGATTTAAAAGACACTTTTGTTGTTCCGTCATTTAGGCGGAATTTGGTTTCTGTTTCTTATTTGGAAAAATTGGGTTATCATTGTTCATTTGGAAACTTTCTGTTTCATTTGTCTTTAAAAGTATAGTAGGGACTGGTTCTTTTATGTCATATGACAATCTTTACATGCTTGAAACAATAACTTCATATAATAATGTTTTGAATATTGACACCCGAGGCACTAAGCGAAAGGTTGATAATGCACAATCTAGTTTTTTATGGCACAAACGATTAGGTCACATCTCTAAAAATAGAGTTGAACGTCTTGTGTCTGATGGAACACTTAATTCCATTGATTTTTCTGATTTCAATACTTGTATTGAGTGCATTAAAGGAAAACAAACCAAAAATAAGAAACAAGGTGCATATAGAGCTATGGATGTCTTAGAATTAATACACACGGATATTTGTGGGCCATTTCCTACTCCTTCATGGAATGGTCAACAATATTTTGTGTCATTCATAGACGATTACTCTAGATATGCATACTTATTTCTTATACATGAAAAATCTCAAGTCTTGGACGTGTTTAAATCTTACAAATCAGAAGTTGAGAATCAACTCAACAAACGCATAAAGAAAGTCAAATCCGACCGTGGTGGTGAATACTATGGGAGGTATGATGGCTCAGGTGAACAACGTCCAGGGCCTTTTGCCAAATTTCTAGAGGAATGTGGGATTGTCCCTCAATACACCATGCCGGGTTCACCTAGCATGAATGGCGTAGCTGAGAGACGTAATAGAACCCTTAAGGAAATGGTAAGAAGTATGATTTCTCATTCTATCTTACCTGAATCCCTCTGGGGTGAGGCATTAAAGACCGCAACTTACATTCTTAATCGAGTGCCAACTAAAGCAACTACTAAAACACCTTATGAGCTTTGGACGGGTAAAAAGCCTAGTTTAAAGCATTTTCATATTTGGGGTTGTCCAGCCGAGGCAAAGCCGTATAGGCCGCATGAAAAGAAACTCGAACCCAAAACAATTAGTAGTTACTTTATTGGTTACTCGGAACGATCTAGGGGATATAAATTTTATAATCCTGAGGATAAAAATATTTTTGAAACGGGAACTGCCATATTTTTCGAGGATGTTGAGTGTGGGGGGAAGAATAAAGTTAGGGATATTGTCTTTGAGGAAGAATTGATTTCAATACCTGAACCAATTCATATGGATGTTTCTTTTGAAACTAATGAAGAACCTCAATAAGGCATTATTTCATCTTCTCCTATCCAAACTGAACAAATTATTCAAAAATGAACAGACTCAACTTCCTCTAAGACAAGTGCAACAAGAAAAT